GAAAAGGAAATGCTTCCTTTCAAGAAATCATGAATGAGCTACCTCATCAGAAATGAGAGCATAATTGGCCAACCTGTGTATACAGATGTGTGGGAGTTTCTTCCTGAAAATTAAGAAATATCTCCTAAGTATGCACTGCTTTTAGTTTTGTGGACTGCATTTCAGTAGCATTATCAAGTGGTTTGATTTACAGTGTCGACCGCTTCACACATTGTTACAACTGAGCATCCTGACTTCCCAAGGCACCTTTCTGCCTTCAACCTCCCACCTGTTAGGTTGTCCACTCCTAACCAGAGGAGTTTCCCTCCAACTACGTTTAAGTAAAAAATAAATAAGCCTGTTAAGTAAGTCAACGATTGGTGTATTCTAGGTTAAGCGGACGACTAGACGTCCTTGTAGACCAAACATAAGATAGGTGTCATTTTACTGTAGCAGTTTGGTTTTCTAAAAAGATAAACACTAAATAAATTTGTTTAATAAAATGGAGCTATGTATATCTTTAGGGAGCTCATTCTTCTTTTTTCCTACTGTGTGTGTGTGTGTGTGTGTGTGTGCAATCTTCATGTAAAGCTGACCTTTCTATTCTGCGTTTTCAGGATATTCTCAACTCCCTGGTAGCAGCAATATTCATATTAATCATATCTGTGTTGGCACTGATACCAGAAACCACGAAATATATGGTCCTTGGAGGGGTAAGTGGAGGCTTTCTGGTTTCTTCCTTTAGGTTTGATCAGAATTCAATTTATTTAAAAAACAGATACGAGAACAGATCGCTATACTGTATTCATCTTTAGTCCTCCCAGGTCTTACAGCACCCAGTGGCTTAATATTTTTTTGTATGAATATATGCCCTGAAGGAATATGGTGTCACAATAAAAATGAAGTTAACTAAATAACGGGGCTCCTACATATTTCTCATAGATATGTAGGGCTAGACTAGGCTGAGAAAACCTAGACTGAGAAAAGCTACAAGAATCAGTTATAATACTTAGCTTTGAGAAGCTTGATGTCAAGCAAAAACACCATGAATAACTTTTATAGTTCTCCCTTTAAAAATAAAAAAAAATAGAAATACATACTGCCCAGCCAGTGTGGCTCGGTGGTTGAGCATTGACCTATGAACCAGAAGTTCACAGTTCGATTCCCAGTCAGGGCACATGCCCAGGTTGCGGCTCGATCCCCAGTGTGGGGCGTGCAGGAGGCAGCCAATCAATGATTCTCTCTCATCATTGATGTTTCTATCTCTCTCTCCCTCTTCCTTCCTCTCCGAAGTCAATGAAAATATATTTATTTAAAAAAATAAAACATTTTTTAAAATATCGTACCACTTGTTAAGGTGAGACAGACTATTCTGAGCTCAGTTATTTCTCATCCAGATCCTTCCTCAGAGGGAATATAATAGATGTCTCGTGATAGGGAATTGTGGTAGGAAGCCTATTAACTAAAGAATGATTTTGAACTCTGATGAGACACAAATCAGTGTAATCAGACTTTATCCTGGAAAGCAAGCCAAAATAAAAATTAAAAAAATGTCAAAACAGTCCCATCTGATACTCTTCCGAGATTTCTTATAAGAGGTTCAAAATCATTTGGCTTTTCTAGGTTCTGATCTAGAGAAGGGAATTAGAAAGTTATTAAATGAATCTCCCTCCTACTTCCTTGTCTTTTCATAGTATGGACCGCTTAGGAGAACTGATCGCTCTCAGATAGCCATGTATGTCAGAATCCATGGCTTTTCCTCTCCCTTATTAGGCCCTAAGCAACTTCATGAGGGATGGGAATTACTCTAGAAATGAAACAGTGCTGAAACAGCAATGTCCCCAGTGGTCTTTAAAGATAATCTTTTTTTTTAATTTATTTTATTGATTTTTTACAGAGAGGAAGGGAGAGAGATAGAGAGTTAGAAACATCAATGAGAGAGAAACATCGATCAGCTGCCTCCTGCACATCTCCCACTGGGGATGTGCCCGCAACCCAGGTACATGCCCCTGACCGGAATCGAACCTGGGACCCTTCAGTCCGCAGGCGACACTCTATCCACTGAGCCAAACCGGTTTCGGCTTTAAAGATAATCTTACCCTCTACTATGGAGAAAGAGGGGCCACCCAGGCATAGGATTTACTTTCACTCACTTACTTACTCATTCATTCATTCTTTTTTTTT